CATCATTATCTCCTTCTTCCTCTTCATCTGATGAATATTGAGTCAACTCTTCATCTGTCATTTTCTTCTCTAATCTTAAATTGTGATGCATGGTCACCAGTGTCCCAGCAGTAGAGATCTTCAATCTGTTTCTGATTTTTGACTGGATGACTCCCCAAACTGACTGTTTTCATTCCCCACATGCAGTAGTATATGGAAGTGTTAAAATAATTTTTGCCCCCATAGCTAGAATGCAAGGATGCAACCCTTTCCACTATGCTGAATGAGCAAGCTGTTTAGGTTAAACTGCTGGGCTTGCATTCCACATTGTTTTACAACTTGGTGGGATACTTGTTGCTTTATAACTTGCTACTTACATGAGAATTGTTTGTTCATTTGTACAATCTTTAAAAATTGTAACAGCCACTTTGCGGTCAGAAGCTGAATCAAATTCATCGTCAGAAAGGTCTTGGCCCTGGAAGCATGGATCAAGATTATGTCCAGGAGTGATCTCTTGTTTTTTCCATGATACTATTTTATCTTTTTCTTCAGCATTTTTAAGTGAACTGTGTTCAGTGTTCTCATAAATGTTCCTTAATGTTCAGGAACTCATTCTTGGCACCAGACAATGTAGAACTATCATTTTCCATATTCGGGATGGACCGAGCTATGGTTTCAAGCAATTAAATGAATTTAGAATTTTGCATCCAAAAGACAGTCTTCAAGACTGTCTGCTGACTTGGGGGTAACACCCAGCCACCCCTTCTTCAGGAGCAGCTGCTTGAAGAGACTTCTTGCATATTTGAAGATTTTAAACATTTAATAGATACCCATTGAGTAGGACACGGCTTCCTCAGCGTAGATAAAGTTTTGTTTTTGAAAACCTTGAAAATGCTCTTCATTTTTGACATGTGATGAGAAAGTTGTCTGGTCTTAATAACCAATGAAAAGCGGCATCGCATCCAGAATACAGATGACGTGGCTACTCATTTATCAACAAAGCCCAAGCGTCTTTCATATTAGCCTTGTTGGTCAGAAGTTAACAACTTTCCCTGGATCCAGTTGTGAATAGTTTTAAACGGGTCAGCAATATATTGGGCGGTGCGGTGATAACGCAGTCCAGTGCAAAACTGAGAAAACAATGGTTGTGAAGTTTTTTACTGTCAAGTTGATGTTATCATTGTGAATATTGCTCCGTCCATCAGACACTAGACACGTGAGAATGCCAACTGTTACACTACACATCTGCTTTGGCACTTAGACTTCCTACAAGCCATTTCCTACATGATACTTTAAATTAGGCACAATTTATGAAAAAAATCTAGTATATAAGGAATTTTGACTACATGAAATGTGTTGCTGTTATAAATTCATCTAGCAAATGTACAGTCAAGTTTGTTTTTCTGGTCATGGGACATTCTATCCAAAAATCTCTTAAAACCAATTTGATGAACATCTGAAGATGTTCCAGGAGTAGGAGTTCTCAATGCTGAAGCAGATGGAGTAGCAAAATCTTATTAGAAGATTAAGAAATTGAATTTGTTTCACTTTCATTGTCACTCATATCACTGCCTTCATTTAAAGAATCCAGGCTTCATGATGATGCTGAGGACGAAAGAGAATGCATAAAAGCAAACAAATTTTTATGCCAACCACTTTTCATTTTTTGCTGTTTGACAGTAGCTGGACATGTCACAAGAATTCAACAAGTGTTTCTCCATTCTGTCATACACAGACGAACAGAACTTGCACTTAGCTTTATTAGTTTTTCCATGTTCATATCTAGTAAAAAATTTCCATACAAATGATTTTGGCTTCCCCAACTCTGCATAATTTGTCACTGTTAAGGACTCGCTACTTTTGGAATGCTGTTTAGATTAGGAAGTATCTCTTGTATTACAATCAACCAGTAGCCATTCAGTTCTGTTTCTAACTGCTGCTGTTCCAAAAGATTCCAACCAATCAAAATGTTTTCAGGCATGTGGCCCCTCCCTCCCAGGATGCTTAGATTCCCGGATCATATGGAGAGTGTGGGGGTCAGTTGGCCTCTCCTCGTTGCAGCAACCACAATGGAACTGTAAGCAGCGGCAGGAGGAGGAACAGAGCAGGAAGGGAGGGATCTATACAGAGATGTGATATGTCACCCCCATTGGCTGAAAATATGAATATTTCTATGCTAGGTGTGGTCTGGAGGGGTAATTGTGAAGGGGGGTTCTGTTGAGAGGAGTGGGGGTTTATTTTACATGGGCATTTAATGTGGGCTGACTGTTTTGCTCCGGTGCGGGAGGTCTGGAGGGTTTATATCTATGTTCCTTTATTTAAGGGACAGTGTTAATAGCTGTGCATCTTTTTCCCTTTTGTGTTGGGGGAACAGGTTTAATGACTATGAGCCCTCCTCCATTCCCATCTGAGTTAATTTTTATGTAGGTCTTTATGTAGGTCTTGTCAGTTTAGGCTTGTAAGCTTTTTGGGGCAGGAATCATGTCTTTTTAACTTGTATTATGTATTTTGTGAACTTTCTTGATGGCCTGGTATACAAACAAAGATATAGATACATACCGTGTTTGTTCTAAAAGATTTCAGCCAATCAAGATGCTCAATTTTCTATTCACCGTTTTACCAACAGGTAGTATTAGCATGTAGTAAAGTGAGTGACCAAAACATTTAAGTAGGCTTGTTAACAAAAGGCACTATGATGCGATCAAAAAAACAGGCTGCCACCTATCTAAGGACATTCTTGATGGAATATTTGACTTTAGTCAAATAGGCATTCAGTTGACTGGCTTGCCAAGTCTATTTGAAGGTAAATTAGGCTTGGTCCACACTGGGGCGGGGGATCGATGTAGGAAACGCAACTTCAGCTACGAGAATAGCGTAGCTGAAGTCGACGTTTCCTAGATCAAACTAAGTTTACTTACTGCGGGTCCACACGGCGCAGGCAAGCTCCCCCGTCAACAGTGCTTCCTCCTCTCGGCGAGCAGGAGTTCCGCGGTCGACGGAGGAGCGCTTCTGGGATCGATTTATCGCGTCCAGATGAGACGTGATAAATCGATCCCAGAAGATCGATCTCTACCCACCGAATCAGGCGGGTAGTGTGGACCTAGCCTTAGATTTGCATGGCAAGATTGCTACTAAGTCTCATGGAGTCTTGTGCTCTTCTTGCTTCCCTGCCCTCACTTTCAGTATGCATCTAGAAGGTTTTTCCTCTCTCAAAATGTATCCTCGATAGTTGACCTTGAGTAGCTTTCCTGTAATCGGCATCCAAAATTATGCCCAGCACTCCAGGAGTGCTTGTATCCTCCCACTTTGCATGGACCTAATGGTCTCTTCAGACTTGTTTTCTCCAGCTATTACTTCAACTCGGTATTTTTTCCTCTCTTGCTGTCAGCCATTTTGTTGGTGATAGCTTCTATCCCTATGGTTTCACTCCTAAGTCCTAACTTCCTAATCAATCTCTTGCTCAGATACTACAAAGATGAAGGCTATAGAAATGCTTAAAGTAAATTATAGCTTGTAAACATTTAGCACCTTTGGTCTTGTTTAGCTTAATTTTAGTTGCTTGGCATTTTTCTATATTGTGTAAGTTGGTGGGAAAATGTTCTGTGCTCTTGCTTAAAGTGAACTGTTCAAAGAAGTTTACAATCTGAGGGTAGTATAAATGGCTTAGCACTGGATATCTGCCCCTTCCCTCTCAAATATTATAAACTTACTTCTGCCGTAATGTCTACAAAAAATCAGCCAATGTGTGATTACTAGCTTGAGGGAGTGTTGTGGAAATTTGATAGTTACATAATAATTACAACTCAAAACAGTGCATGTATAGATGTGTGTACTTTGTAAACTCTGTGGACCCAGGATAGTGTCTACCTTTGATTTTGTACAAAATGAGTTATAGCTATAAGAGGTTCTTTTACCTACATTGGAAGCAAGAGAGCGACAAAGGAAAGTGTTGGACCGCTACTTATCGGAGATGGGGAGCTAATTACTGAAGACATTAAAAAAGCTGAGGTGTTCAACGCCTATTTTTCTGTAGTCTTCACTAAAAAAGTTAATGGCAACCAGATACTCCCTACAATTAATATTAAGAACAAAGGGGACGGAATGCAAGCCAAAATAACGAAAGAACAGGTTAAAGAACATTTAGATAAATAAGATGTATTCAAGTCAGCAGGGCCTGATTAAATTCATCCTAGGGTATATAAGGAACTAGCGGATGCAATCTCAGAACTGTTGGCAATTATCTTTGAGAAGTAATGAAGGACAAGTGAGGTCCCAGAAGACTGGAGGAGGGCAAACATAGTATCTGTCTTTAAAAAGGGGAACAAAGAGGACCTGGGGAATTATAGACTAGCCAGCTGAACGTCCGAAGGATACTGGCTCAAATTATTAAATCTGTTTGTAAACATCTAGAGGATAATAGGATTATAAAGAATAGCTAGCATGGATTTGTCAAGAACAAATCAATCTAATTTTCTTCTTTGACTGGGTATTGGCCTATTGGATAACTAACCCCCCCCCATTTACATTAATTCTTATGGGAAAATTGGATTTGCATAACATCGTTTGGCTTAAGGTTGCATTTTTCAAAAACATAACTAGGACGTTAAGTGAGGAGTTGGTAAGGACTTTTTTTTTTTAAAAGATCAATTGTTCTCCATGACTACTGAAGGTAGTACAAGAAGTAATAAGCTTAATCTGCTGGAAGGGAAGTTTAGGTTAGGTATTTAAAAAAAACAAAACAAAAAAAAACCTTTCTAACTCTCAGGGTAGTTAAGCTCTGGAACAGGCTTCCAAGGAGATTGTCAAACCTGTTTTTAAAAAACTTCCAATGACAAGGATTCCACAAACACCTGTCGGGGATGGGTTAGGTTTACTTGGTCCTGCCACAGTGCAGGGGCTGGACTTGATGACTTCTCGCGATCCCTTCTATCCCCATTTGGCTCAGTAATTTTGCTGCTTTGCACTGATGGTGGTAGTGTCTCAGATTTCCCTCTGACTGTCTAGCTTTTTTCTCTTTTCAGGACTATAAAGCTGATGAGGACCCAGTATTGTTTCAGTCGGTGAAGACCAAGAGAGGACCTTTGGGGCCTAACTGGAAGGTATTGTGAGCTGACCTTACTGCCTTACAAAGTCTTGATCAGCGGAAAGTAAACATTTGACAGCTCTTGAGGGCCTTGAAGAGTTGGTGGTGGCTTTAGTTACTACTGAGATGGCAGGAATATACTTTAGTTTCTTTTCCTTTTCAAATCCAATTAAACTAAGTCAGTGCATTTGTTATATTAGTAAACAAAATATACCCACTCTGTCGCTATAACAAAAATACTGTACTAATGTTAAAAATAGACACAGTGATTTAACCTTTTGGGATCATAAGGTTAATTACGAAATTGTTATATTGAAAAAAGTACTAATATCTTTGTTATAAATACACAGCTGAATTTCGTACTACAATGAATTCCATGTGAATCATTTGTCCTAAAGACACTGTCCGTGGTTTGCCATTTGAAGTAGTTTTAGACTGCAAGAAGCTATAATTGGGAGTAACTTGGTGTTTTTAAATTTGAAGAATCCCTGGTTACATCTGATGAGTAGCTAACTTAATTTTCTCAAAAGAGATGATAAGTTCTTACCTTGTATGACCCTTGTTTAATTGTATTTGGAGGGGTGCTACTGGAAGGCTGATTTATCTGGATGTCATACTTTATAAATACAACATTTACTACACAAGTTGGTAAGCAGAAAAATATGCTGGTTCACTGAGTTTCCCTGGTTCTGCATCAAAATGATATTAGAAACGTATTAGGGACTGTGTGTGGATTCCTTGAGGCAAATTTTCTATACTGGCTGATCAAAGAATCCAACATGCCTCCCAGAGTTTTCGTCTTGGTACCTGACCATCTCTACTGCTACAAAACCTTCCATCCCTCAGCTTTCCTCAGCATTGCATGATCCTGACCGTTGTCCTTCCTCCTGACCCTTCGTTGTTGTGTATCTCATTTTACATTGCAAGGTTCTGTAGTCTGGGACCTTGCCACCTTTCATGATTGCTAAGCACTATGCATCCTGTTATACTATTTGGGGCTATTGCGCACTTTAAAAAAATGAACCGCGCAATTTAAAAAAATAGAATACCATTTATTTAAATATTTTTGGGTGTTTTCTAAATTTTCAATTGTATTGATTTCAATTATAATACAGAATAGAAAGGGTACAATGCTCACTTTATCATCAACGTTGTAGAATTATGTGCCAACAAATGTAGAATTATGTACCAAAAAAACCTGCATTCAAAAATAAAACGATCTGGAGAAAGGGGTAAACAGTGAGGTGGCAAAGTTTGCAGATGATACTAAACTGGTCAAAATAGTTAAGACCGAAGCAGACAGTTTTGTGAGGTCTTTTTGAAGTTCTTCACAAAGTGATTGGGCAACAAAATGGCAAATGAAATTTAATGTGGATAAATGTAAAGTAATGCACTTTGGAAAAAATAACCCCAACTATACATACAATATGATGGGGGCTAATTTAGCTACAAGTCAGGAAAGAGATCTCGGAGTCATCGTGGATAGTTCTCTGAAGACGTCCACGCAGTGTGCAACCGCAGACAAAAAAGCAAACAGGATGTTAGGAATAATTTAAAAAGGGGTAGAGAATAAGGCAGAGAATATCTTATTGCCCTTATATAAATCGATGGTACACCCACATCTTGAATACTGCGTACAGATGTGGTCTCCTCATCTCAAAAAAGATATACAGGCATTAGAAAAGGTTCAGAGAAGGGCAACTAAAATATTAGGGGTTTGGAACGGGTCCCATATGAGGAGAGATTAAAGAGGCTAGGACTTTTTAGCTTGGAAAAGAGGAAACTAAGGGGGGATATGATAAAGGTGTATTAAATCATGAGTGGTGTGGAGAAAGTGAATAAGGAAAAGTTATTTTCTTGTTCCCATAATATAAGAACTAGGGGCCACCAAATGAAATTAATGGGCAGCAGGTTTAAAACAAATAAAAGGAAGTTCTTCTTCACACAGTGCACAGTCAACCTGTGGAACTCCTTGCCTGAGAAGGTTGTGAAGGCTAGGACTATTAACAGGGTTTAAAAAAGAACTAGATAAATTCATGGAGGTTATGTCCATTAATGGCTATTAGCCAGGATGGGTAAGGAATGATGTCCCTAGCCTCTGTTTGTCAGAGGGTGGAGATGGATGGCAGGAGAGAGATCACTTGATCATTACCTGTTAGGTTCACTCCCTCTGGGACACCTGGCATTGGTCACTGTTGGTAGACAGGATACTGGGCTGGATGGACCTTTGGTCTGACCCAGTATGGCCATTCTTATATTCTTAATATAAAACTTTAGAGCCTACAAGTCCACTCAGTTGTATTCCTTGTTGAGCCAATTGCTCAGACAAACAAGATTGTTTACATTTGCAGGAGATAATGCTACCTGCTTCTTGTTCACAATGTCACCTGAAAGTGAGAACAGGTGTTCTCATGGCACTGTTGCAGCTGGAGTTGCAAGGTATTTACATGCCAAATGCACTAAAGATTCATATGTCCTTTCATGTTTCAACCACCATTCTAGAGGGCATGCGTCCATGCTAATGACGGGTTCTGCTCGATAACCATCCAAAGCAGTGCAGACCGACGCATGTTCATTTTCATCATCTGAGTCAGATGCCACCGGTAGAAGGTTGATTTTCTTTTTTGGTGGTTCGGGTTCTGAAGTTTCCGCATTGGAGTGTTGCTCTTTTAAGACTTCTAAAAGCATGCTTCACACATCATCCTTCTCAGATTTTGGAAGGCACTTTCGATTCTTAAACCTTGGGTCGAGTGCTGTAGTTATTTTAGAAATCTCACATTGGTACCTTCTTTGCAAGGTTTTGTCACGTCTGCAGTGAAAGTGTTCTTAAAATGAACATGTTCTGAGTCATCATTCGAGACTACTATAACATGAAATATATGGCAGAATGCGGGTAAAATAGAGCCGGAGACATACAATTCTTCTCCCAAGGAGTTCAGTCACCAATTTAATTAATGCATTATTTTTTAACGAGCATCATCAACGTAGAAGCATGTCCTCTGGAATGGTGGCCAAAGCATGAAGGGGCATATGAATGTTTAGCATACCTGGCACATAAATTCCTTGCAATGCTGGCTACAAAAGTCCCGTGCAAACACTTATTCTCACTTTCTGGTGACATTGTAATTAAGAAGTGGGCAGCATTATCTCCCATAAATGTAAACCAACTTGTTTGTCTCAGCGATTGGCTGAACGAGAAGTAGGACTGAGTGGACTTGTAGGCTCTAAAATTTTGCATTGTTTCATTTTTGAGTGCAGTTATGTAACAAAAAAAATCTACATTTGTAAGTTGCACTTTCATGATAGAGATTGCACTACAGTACTTGTATGAGGTGAATTGAAAAATACGGTTTCTTTTGTTTATCAATTACTTTTACAGTACAGATATTTGTAATAAAAAATATGAAGTGAGCAGCGTACACTTTGTATTCTGTGTTGTAATTGAAATCAATATATTTGAAAAAATAAAAACATCCAAAAATATTTAATTTCAATTGGTATCATATTATTTAACAATGCGATTAAAACTGTGATGAATTGCAATTAATTTTTCGAGTTAATTGCATGAGTTAATTGCAATTAATTGACAGCCCTAATACTATGTCATTAACCGACTCTTAACTCCCTTGTTGTCCAAAGAAACTTAACTCTGTTCACTTTTATTCCTTGGACTAACAGGAGCTGAGTAGGAAGAATTTATAAAAATAAGAGGGAAGTGGCCAGTAGGGAAGGAAAAAGTAAGGTGCTGGTAAATGAAAATAAAGAAAGCAACAGTTGAACGAAAGCAAAGCCCAACCTATCTTTGCCCTGTTGTGTGTCTGGTACTCTAACTCATAGTGCACTGGACCCCTGCAACAGTAGAGCTGCTTATGCTGGTGTTTAATTTATGAGTTTAGATGAGAGATCATATACCTTGTTTAGGTGTGCAGTTGGGTTCTTGAACTCTTTGGTTCTGATACATATACACTTATCCTTTGGAATACGTGTCTATCACATTTTTCATTATTTAGGAATCAAACTATTAAGTGTCCTGTGTGCATAGTGATGAGAGAGTGATTTAAACAGTAACTTGACTCACCTTTTTGCTTCAAGGCAAAGCCTTCAGGCCTGTCTCTCTCAGTAGTCATGGCTACAAATACTATAGTGGTGTTCTTAAATGCATTAACAAGCTGCTTGTTCAACATGTTTTAGTTAAAAAAAAAAAAATCATGCCTGGGTTCATTGAGTTTTAGCTTTTCTCTTAGTTTTATGTTGGGAAAGGGTTGTTTTGTAAAGAGAAATATTAAGTTCTTTGAAAGCTCTGTTTACATTAGTGTCACCTTTCTGTGTAGACAGGCTTAATTTATTGACATTATTTTGGTGCATAACTTGATAGGTGCTCATCCAAGTACCACAGTGGCTCCCATGTCTCATTCTTAAGATACAGACCTGCCTTGGAAATCTTCTCACAGGAGCGGAGACCCATAATTCAGCTCCTTCTGCATTGTATAGTCAGCAAAGTGCTTTACAGTGTTGTCTTTTTTGCCTTCTGAAGCATCAGGTTGTGGCTGCCTTACTTGTAGTGGTATTCTGGACTTGATGGACCAGTAATCTGATCTAGCTTCCTATCTTTCTCAGAATGGTTGCTTATCTCAGAAACTGAGGTCAAGCCCTCTGTGATTAGAATTTGACATCTGGGGGTAGCTTACATCCCCTGAAGCAGCCCTAGAATAGAAGGATAAAAATATACTTCAGCTAGAGGCTGAGCGCAGAAGCTGAACCAATGTGGGTATGGCTTTATGGTAGAGTTATCTTAAGTTTTCAGGTGTTTTGAGACTTGTGTTCTGTGATGTTGCATGTCCTGGGTGGGAGTAAGTTCAAATGACAGTAGTTTAAATGAGGTGAGATTTGGGCTGAAACATTGATATGATTTTATATGCTATGGTCTGTGTATGGTATGATGAATTGGCCTCAGCTGAATGAATGTTTCTTGTAGAAATGTATTGCATAATTATCCCAAGATTTCATTTTAAAAAG